CATGTCAGCCCCTCTTACCTACATCACTGTCCCTTTAAATTATACTTTAGACCTTCACTTTAACTGGTGAATATCACTCACCATGCAGACGACAGAGTGTCTTTGATCTTGTGCTACTGAATAAGGCTCTAAATATAGCATCATGAACCTATGACCTCTGATTTGAACTTATGTTCAGATTTTTGTTTAAATTTAGGATTTAAGAAAAAAACTTGAGTCAAGACTTAAAGATGGGTTTCCTTATTTTTTATTGTCAACGTGATAATTTATGTATAATATAAATTATATATTGGTAGATACGTTTTGATCACGTAGGCTAATATACGTTACGTATTATACAAGCGCTATTTCATAGGTGGTTACTTAATAGCGGGCAAAACAATAACTTCCGTTATTGTGCAGCATGGCGTCTTGGTGTACTCTTGGGCAGTATTAACAAATGTTTAATGGCATCGTCTACCCGTCCGAAAAGTCACAATGCTGACAGGAAAATGTCACAGTGTGTAAACTATCTTTTAGAGAAGAGCCAAAGAGAGTTAGGTCTAGAGTTAGTACCTGGAAACATTATCTGTGTTGACCATCCTGACAGGGAGATCCTTTTCTCAAACATGCTTTCTCAATATTCGATGTGGCGCTTACCAATAATCAACCCTGTATTGAAATGGACAGAGTCCTTCAGATCCCTTGTTGAAAACCAAATCATAGTTGAGCTTGAACATGGCAATTCTGTAATTGCCGAGGTTAAGACAAGAATTGTCAGTGCTTTAGGTGCAGTGCTTAAGTTCGCTTCAAAAATTTGACTAATACATGACTCCAGTCAACCAATCGGCTCAAGTTTAAATGACCGTGTTCTTACTGATTGTAGCTGTTCAAATATGGATTTGCGGAAGGCATCAAAATATGTTTCTGAAGATTGTTTCTTAGCTAAGATTGACTTACGTGCGGCTTCATCCCTCTAAATATCCTGCTACCGGTCTTAAATGGACATTTACTGGTGACATACACCCAACTTATTCACATGACACTACGCTCCCCTTTGGTGCTAGGAAAAGTCCCACAATTTTTCATCTGTTGGATATTGTGGAAAAAATATGGATACCGGGCAATTGCTTATCTTGATGACTTTTTGGTGTTTGGTGCATCGTTTGCCGAATGTCAATCTGCACTTACTAGCCCCTTGAACTACTGCGTGAACTGAGTTTTACCATTAACTGGTCCAATGTGATTTGTCCTACGAATGTGCTTACTTTTCTAGGAGTTCAAATCAATATACTGTGGATATGACTTTTTCCCTACCCTGTGATAAACTGTGTAATTTTACTGATCCTAAGACGCTTCGCTTGCAGAAAACGTGCTAGCAAACATCAACTCGAAACTCTTATAGACAAACTCTCGTGGGCTTCCCAGATCATACCTGGAGGGCGCACCTTTTTGCGACGTGTTATTGACTTGAAATGCACTCTAGTAGACAAACATCATAAGGTTATACTTAACAGTGACTTTATCTCAGACCTTCATTGGTGTCTTTCCTTTATGACAGTGTTTAATAGTAGTTGCAGAATAATTGATCAGCGCCCAATAACGTCAATACAAACTGATTGCCTGTATGGAGGGGCAGGCGGTTATTACAATGGTGATTACTATCATGTTAATTAATAGTGTCATGTATTAATAAGGGAACCTCCAAAAACCCTTTCATTATGACTATATGTCGGTTGTAATTTTGGATCTGTGCCATCAATAACTGTACGTTAAGTGCTATATACGATGCAACTATCCAGCAATATCTAAATACCATACCGCATATTCACAAACTATCAGGCTACTCTAATCCTTTTCAAGGAGATTATCCACTTGAACTTTTACCACTTGGGTGTGGCACAAACTCCCGTTACAGCTATTATTACCTCACCGATTTTACTGGCTATCAAATCTGTTGTAGATTTTCAGTCTTTTTCCCATCATTCATTTTGGTGTACATGTCTTTTTGGTTTTTGTGGTCTTTTACGCCTATCAAAATTAATGTTGCCGTAAAAACCACTTTTGATCTATCTACAGATTTGCGATGTATTGATTTGCTAGCATGTAGTTGGGGATATTTGTTTTGTTTGAGATGAACAAAAACTATTCAATTTAGAGAGCGACACCTTGAGGTTTTATTGCCTCAAATCAATAATGCTCTTTGCCCAGTTGCTGCTTTGCGCAAAATGCTTGCATTCTGTTCGTTCTACACAGCATTTAGTCCTTTACTCTTGCTTGAACATGGTCAAGCTTTGAATTATCAATTTTTCTTGCAAACACTGGAGGACGCATTATTACGGGCAAAGGTTCAACCGCATCACATAAAAGGCCACTCCTTTCGCAGAGATAATGCGACACGGCTGCATAAACAATTCGTCCCTGTGGACATGATCAAATCAATAGGTAACTGGTCAAGCGATGCTGTACATCGTTAGTTAGATCCCCAATTTGGTCAAACACTAAAGGTTGTGACCGACTTCGGGTTTTCCCTGTGTTCTCACACTTAAAAATTATTTTGTCTTCAATCTATTGTAATAGAGCTATATTTTAGGTGTAAATATTATTTTTTAATTTTATCCAGGTTTTAATTAGTGATAATGTTTTACTAACAAACACTGTAACGCAGTTCACATATCTTCTTTCTCTCCTATTTCATTCATCTGAGTGAGACTCTTTCTTCACTCACTCACTCTATCTTTCTTTCCTACTCTCTTATTCATCTGAGTGATGTTATTCCTTTATTCACTCACTCTTTCTCTCCATTGGTCTCTACCATGGTTTCTGTTTTGTTTACCCAGGCTCCCCTTGGTTTCTGGCTTTCTGTATGCATTTTACTATCATATTTTATTTGGTTTCTGCATTGTAAAGACCTTCTCTTTACAATCAGAAGTTTTCTGTGTTTCGGATATTTCTCCGGATACTATTTTTACTTGTATTTGTATTTTATTTATATTTTAGCTAAGTTTATACATAGTTGGTTTTATCTGTATATTATAGTTTTACTGTTCAAAAATCATTTTGGCACTCAGTAGTTTTGTGGCTGTAATGTACATTTGCATAAAGTAGTCAATAGTTTATCAGTTCTAGCATTCCAATTATATACATTTCATTTCAACCATTACATAACATTCTATTTCTTTCTAAGCTAGTTTCAGTTATATATATATTATTAATTAGTAAGTTTTTAAGCCTTTCGCTTAAAAAGTTAAGCAGTGTGTTAAAACCCCTCCTTCTAGGGTAAGCCTTTATTTAAATATTTCATCTAAATTAGGCAATTGTATATTTGCATTTACATGTCACCGGTACCGCTGCAGGTCAATCCTTTATAAATAATTATATGTACAATATATTATTCTTTCAATAATATATTTCTATGTCAGGGTTATTTTCATATATTTACTGATATTGTTTGTTAATAGATATTTTGTATTATTTTGTCACTGTGTAATATTCTTCTTTGAATATTTCAGGGTTTTTATTGTACGTAATAATAAACTTTAAAAACTTAATTGGATGTGTGGTTTCTAAAAACCCCATTTGCTGACCACTCATTACACTATCATAATCTGAAGGGCTGGGGTCTTTATTTCATTGTTATGTTTATCTTTATGATGAATCTGTTATTATTTATGTTATATGATTACATTATGTATTTAATGTGATTAAAATATATGTGCCAACTTATCACTGTCTGATTACTTAAACGTACAAGTATCAAATTAAGCTAATTATTTGATTAATTGGTGTTTCTAATGAATTATCATGTATTCTTAATCAATACAATAAATTATTTTCACTGTTAAAATAGTGCTCAAAATTCAAATTCTTTATATCCTTGGACATTTCTGTCCATCAGATAACATTTACAAACACAAATACAAACAAAATACAAACAAAATACAACACAATTACAGAAACAATACAAACGTATTTACATAATATACAATGTTCTATGTAGAGAGTGATATTAATTACTTTAAATTGTTTAGATTTCTTTTCTTGTATGATTGGCTTAGATAAATACCTAGTTTTCTGGTTTCTGAATGTTTATCACTGGATAGTAATTGTATTAATTTAAACATGCTTCAATTCATAAAATAATATCTTTTAATTTATTTTTCCCTCATTTCTTTATAAAAATGCATTCCATCTTCAATTTCATTCAAATCACACATAGTACAAATTCTATTTTGACATGGAATATCAAAATATCTCCCTGTTTCTAAACGGAGGTTATGAGCTTAAAGTCGAATTTTTGAAAACAGTATCAAATAATGTTTGGGGATTGGCTTAGTCAAATATGATTGTAATTTGAATTCTTTGACTAAATGTATGTATAGGGTTCCTTTACTAGTATTTCCTTTTCTTCATAACATTGTTGCTGAAAAATATCGCATATTCGTTGTTTGATAATTGTGAAAGAGTTTAAATATAGTTCTGGGTTGTCCCATATATAACCTAAACCAATCTCAAAAAATTCATTCCGTACATGCAATAGCCAATGATCATCATTTTCATCATTTTCATACATATCATATAAACAACTTCTTGTTTAATTTTCCCTCCATTTCTAAAAAAAACTATCTTTGTTTTACCAGTATTTACAGTTAAATTCCACTTTCTTGTATACGAACTTAATGAGAACTTGAAGACCAGATATACTCTCGGAAAATAATAGTTTATCGTCTGCATACACGAGAAGAAATAAATTCAATGTACGTAATGCTGGCACCCATCGTTAATAAAAGTAGATTGACAATCATTAATATAAATTGAGAATAATAAAGGCGACAATATTTCTCCTTGGAATAATCCATTTGTACTGTCAAAATATTCGGAGATATCTCCATTTAATTTAACACAACATTTTACCTATTCGTGATGAATTACCTGCCCTTTTTTGCACACGTAGATGTCGCTTAACCATTCTCATTGTCATTGGTTTTGTGAGCCCGGTCTGATAAGACGCACGTGCAGGGATGAGTCGCAAAGCGTGGAATGAAGTGAAAAAGCCCGACATGTTGGAATGTCTAAAGACATTCAGAGCTAATGGGCAGCCTCCAAAGGTTATGGTGAATTGGAAGGAAGCAGTAAATATAGAGACCCTGAAAATAGAAGAGCTAAAATCTGGCTTTGAGAAAATGGATGTAGACGAAACAGAAATGGCACAACTGTTGGGCATAGCGGAAACAAGGGAAAATCTAATCGTAATGGCGATAGCCACAATTTTAACAGCGCTAAAAATAAGTGGTAGTCATGTGAGTTGTTTGTACGATAGATTCTGACCCGATTGTGGGCTTTAGGGGTGGTCCTTTCGGTACTATGTACAGTTGGTAAAGGTTCTTCTAAAATTCCTTAAAATGAATCCGGTCATCAACGGATATCGCTCTACATGACTTTGGCTACAGGCGCTGGGGGAGTGTGTAAAAAGGAGATTGTAGAGGAGTGGCTAATAAGGCGCAGTGTTTCGGGCTTTGATCATGTATGTAAACAGTATAATTAGGTCATGACCGTGTAATTTTGGCTAGGACAAGTTTACTTTGGAGATAATCTATCGAACTTTATAAACGGTGGATGTTATATCTGGGATGTATTGAGCTGCATATAGTTTTAGTATGTATTCTGTTATGTGATTTATGATTTGACTGTTCTTGTCCGTAAAATGACAAGTAGTTAATTCAAAAAAATTTTTGAATGAATTTCCATCCCACACACCCCCTACTCTGATAAAATGTTCGCTTGAAAAGGTCATCGTAGTTTGTAACAAAAGTTTCGGGAGTCAGAATAATCATGTATAGGTAGTTAATTAAAGCTAATTAGGTATTGACTGTTTTCGTCCGTTAAATGGCAAGCAGTTACTTCACATTGGTTCTAAATGAATTTCCTTCCCCCACACACTCTATTTTCGTATAAGATCTAAGATTGAAAAGTAAATGTGGTGCGTGTAGCTGAAGGTGACCAAAGTTATAATTTGGGTAGAGAATGGGAATATTCATGACTAGTTAGGGCTATGTGTGACTGTTCTTGCCCGTTAAATGACAAGCAGTTCGGGTAGTCTTAAATAGATTTTATGCCAATAGATTTATGCCAATCTCCCCCCCCCCCCCACAATCTCCTCTAGTTTCTTAAGAGAAGGTTTTAAATTGGTTGGTATATATTAGTGACTAGGTAATGCTTGTGTAGCAAAGAGAAACTGTTTTTGTAGCGGTAAATTGGTTGGTATATATTAGTGTCTAGGTAATGCTTGTGTAGTAAAGGGAGACTGTTTGTGTAACGGTAAATTGGTTGGTATATATTAGTGTCTAGGTAATGCTTGTGTAGCAAAGAGAAACTGTTTGTGTAGCGGTCAATTGGTTGGTATATATTAGTGACTAGGTAATGCTTGTGTAGCAAAGAGAAACTGTTTTTGTAGCGGTAAATTGGTTGGTATATATTAGTGACTAGGTAATGCTTGTGTAGCAAAGAGAAACTGTTTTTGTAGCGGTAAATTGGTTGGTATATATTAGTGTCTAGGTAATGCTTGTGTAGCAAAGAGAAACTGTTTTTGTAGCGGTTAATTGGTTGGTATATATTAGTGACTAAGTTATGCTTGTGTAGTAAGAGAAACTGTTTGTGTAACGGTAAATTTGTTGGTATATATTAGTGACTAGGTAATGCTTGTGTAGCAAAGAGAAACTGTTTTTGTAGCGGTTAATTGGTTGGTATATATTAGTGACTAGGTTATGCTTGTGTAGCAAAGAGAAACTGTTTTTGTAGCGGTAAATTGGTTGGTATATATTAGTGTCTAGGTAATGCTTGTGTAGCAAAGAGAAACTGTTTTTGTAGCGGTAAATTGGTTGGTATATATTAGTGACTAGGTAATGCTTGTGTAGCAAAGAGAAACTGTTTGTGTAACGGTAAATTGGTTGGTATATATTAGTGACTAGGTAATGCTTGTGTAGCAAAGAGAAACTGTTTTTGTAGCGATAAATTGGTTGGTATATATTAGTGACTAGGTAATGCTTGTGTAGCAAAGAGAAACTGTTTTTGTAGCGGTAAATTGGTGGTATATATTAGTGACTAGGTAATGCTTGTGTAGCAAAGAGAAACTGTTTTTGTAGCGATAAATTGGTTGGTATATATTAATGTCTAGATAATGTTTGTGTAGCAAAGAGAAACTGTTTTTGTAGCGGTAAATTGGTGGTATATATTAGTGACTAGGTAATGCTTGTTTAGCAAAGAGAAACTGTTTTTGTAGCGGTAAATTGGCTAAGGAAAACTTGTAGCAGAGTAGTAAGTCAGTTGTGAATATTAGTTTTGGGATAGTTAGCCTAACGATCGGTGACTGTTTAGCTGGTGTGTAGAAGGGAGAGAATGCTGTGACTTGTTGGGTAGTGGTTAGTAGGTATTTAGAGGTATGGTTTAGTGTAAAATAGAAATGGGGCTCAAATGAATGTGGTTATGTGTGGTAACGTTATGTCCTGTAGTAAATGTGTATTTTGAAATGGTCGTGAGGTAAAATTTATTTCTTGTTTCAGAATCCAGGTGCAGGTATTGATAAAGTTTCCATAAAAGAAAGAATTGTTGAGTTAGATTCGTTAATTGGCAGTAAAAAATATGTTAAGCAGAAGGATAGGTTGCAAACGGATGTAGAGAAGTTTCTCGAAGAATACAGTAAAAGCACAATAGATAAAGCGACACCCCATGATATGCGAGCTTTTTTAGTGTATAAAGAATCGTGTGGGAAAACAAAAGTGCATAGGAAAGATTGTCTTGTTGTTTCTGGGACAGGTTGTCATTGTGAGTGTCTCTTAGACATGAGTGCAAATTCTGTGGACAGTTTGATAGGAAAATTAAGAGCAATCTTTAGGGATAGAGGTAGGGGTTCTAAATGGGATGCAGATTTGGGCACTGGCAATCCTTTAGCGTCCTTAAGTATAAAAAACCATCTGAAGGCATTAAAAATGGAGCAATTGCAGGCGGATGTGATTCCGATACACGCCGTACCGTTATTTTTGGATAAGGCTGCCAAGTTGGACAGATATTTGGAGTTTTATTTAACAAGACCTTTGTTGATTAGAGAAGAATATCTAGTTAGAAGGGATAAGGCGTTTATAAAGTTTATATGTCATTCTGGTGATAGAGCAGGTGATTTAGCGAATCTTAGGACGGATCAAATAAAACAAACCGAGAAAGGTTTGTTAGTTCGTATGACACAGGGTAAAACAATAAAACAGAAGCTAGAATATTTTGTGTAGCCCGAAGTGCGAATGTGGAGTCTTGCCCAGTAGAGGAGATCCTCGATTTTGTGATTTGAAAGGGCTTAAAGTGCGAGATGGATATTTGTTTCGATCATGTAGATCGATTTTAGACTTCACGAAAAATCGACCTATTTCGTCTTCAGCAATTAATAGCAGGTTGAGAAAGCATTTGAAGGATGCTGGGTTATAGATGTCTCATAGTGCGAGATCGGGTTGTGCAATTACATTGAAAATGCTAGGCATATCTGATGAGCAGATTCAGTCTCACGTCGGTTGGAAGTCAAAATCTATAATGGAAAGTTATGTGAAATTGTGGACCATGACGAATGCTAAATCAGCTTCTGTAGCTATGTC